AAGTGGTAAAATTATATAGTGAAAAGAAGTTTGCTGTGAAAAAGATTAAGGTTAAAGCTATATAATCAAATTATATAAAAAGTTAAAAAGAAATCTGTTAGAACGAAAAGCTTATATATATATATATATGTATTATGATTATGCGGCAGAATTCACGAATTCTTCATTTTATATTGCAAGATGTCAACTAAGATGACGGCAATACACCGTAATGTAATTTGATGGCACCGTAATATTTGTGACGGTATAGAACTATTTATCAACGTTTTTTTGGTAACGCCATATTTGTAGCGGTGTATTAGAAAATTTGTTTACAATTCTTTTGATCAAAATAAAAGCATTAAATATACATTTATATGAATTTTGAATAATAAAGTGGAAAGTGTATATATAATTGAAATATAACATAAAAGCGCAAAGCTACGTTACGTCCATTTAGCTTTACATAAAAGCGGTACCGCTATTAGCGTTCGGTATGATACGATCGTAATATTACGGCATCGTTTTTCGAGGAAACCAAAGATTTTGACAACTAGCGAAAAACTAAACATTAGGGTTGTAGGGTTTTTTTTTATTTATTTATTTATTTAATTTTTTTAAAGCATTTTTTGAATTTGCTACAGACGTTGATTCCAAGAAATAGTTCGTATTATATTTAGATTGATTTTAGTACNGTAGCAGCGTCCGACCCCGCTGCTCTCTGCGCGATGGTTGGGGTTAGCAATCCATATCGCGGCCGAGCCTAATTGGTCAACATGCCAGGTTTCCTTTGCTCTATAGGGTTCACGNAAATAGTTCGTATTATATTTAGATTGATTTTAGTACATTTGAATTTCTCTTAAATGATTTCGTGAATGTGTCTACGCATAAACGTAGTACTAATCATTCTCTATAGAATCTAGGTTCGGTCCTTAGATCTAAAGAGACCTAATAATAATATAATATTTATAGCCTAAATAAAAAAATATAATAAAAAAACATAAAGATCAACAACATTAAAAAATAAATAAATATATACATATATATATACACATAATAATATATATAAAAAGCAATCATAATGAAATCATTTAATTGCGATATGTGTGAAGCGTCATTCACTAAAACGTATAATCTTAAACGTCATATTCAAAGAAAACATCAAAAAACTTCAATGCGTATACCGGAATCTATAAACGATGACACTCCCAGCGGAACTAAAAACTTAAATCCAGATAAATATGATGCAGTCTATTGTAGAAGCTGTAAGGATGAAATTGATTGGAAAAATTGGACTTATCACTTGAGGACGAATGCTCATAAATCAAAAAGTGGAGAGATAATAAATGAAAACTTAAAACAAATAAAATCGGGTTTCGCTGAAAAATTAGAACCGTATAAATATAGAAACACAAATAATATGATTCTAAATCCAAATCTTTTTTTTTTGATATCGCTAAACCAAACGTCGTTGAAATTTTAAATAATATGTTAGAAAAACATAATGTACTGAAATTCAACTTCAACCTTCTTTGCGAGTATGTTAAAATGGATGAAGAGAACGCAGATATTATCATGAAATACCACCCAGCACATTTAATTGAAATAAACAAAAACACGGACTTAAACGAAATGTATAGATATTGATAGGAATATATCTGAATTTAAAAAAAGCGATATTGGGTGGACGATTTCAAATATTTTATATTTGGAAATTATCTTCGTTCAAAATCTAAGACAAATTCGATCACTTTTTAATGAACGCATTGAATCATATTCCTATATAAATACAGATGAAAGATTATTGATTCCTAATGAGTTTNAACAAGTAAGAAAGTCTAAGTTCGGGCGGAGCCGAACATTAAATACCCGGCGCAAGTATTAAATATATGTTTTCCACCTTTCCGAAAGCTGCCGCTACATGATAAGCCGGGGTGTATAAATATTAAGTATATTAGCGTCCTTCAATTTCGAAATATTGAAATTTCAAGCATTTCTGAAATTTACCGTTATATGAAAAGCGGCCGAAATTTTAGTCCGATTTCAACAATTTTCAACGGTTTGCTTTTATGTGGCAAGCACAATAACCATACCGAG